CCCCTCAGCCCGGCCCCGCCCCTCAGCCCGGCCCCGCCCCTCAGCCCGGCCCCGCCCAGCGTGCTGCAGCCCGGCGGCCGCCAGGGGGCGCTTGCCCGCTGCGGCTCAGCGCCCTGAGGCGGCGCGAGGCGGGGCGCGCTCCGCTCCGCGCCGGGCCCGCCCCGCCGCCCATTGGCCCCGCGCCGCCCCTCGCCCCGGTGCCGGTGCTGAGTCACGGCCCGCTCGGTGCTGCCCGGGGCCGTAGGTGCCGTGGAAAGCCTGCTGGCCACTGCCTGAGCAGCGCCATGGGGACGGAGGGCGCCCGCGCCCTGCTGGAGGGCGCCGGCAGGCTCACCCTGCAGACCGGCAACCTGCTCAACTGGGGCTGCCTGCGCAAGAAGTGCCCGGCCACCCCCGGCGAGGAGGTGAGGGGCGGGCCCGGGCTTCTCTTCGGGGCAGCTCGGCGGAGACTTGCCCCGGGCCGAGGGGCCTGGCCCGGGCCGCGGGCGGGGCGCTGGCTGAGAGAGCGCCGGGGACCGCTTCCCGGGCGGTCCCTGCGGCGTCCGGAGCGGGACACGTTCCGGCGGGGCACGGAGTGGCGCCGTGCCCGTCACGGCGAGGAGGGGCTTTGGCTCCCCAGCGATCCGCTTGCCGGTGCCCTCGGGAGGCCCGAGATGGGAATGGCAGAACAGAGTTGTGCTTGTTTGTTTTCGTCCGTTTCTTGTGTTCTGCCGTGGTGGGAGGTCGGGCCCCCCGTGTCCCCGGAAGCACTTTGCCCTGAGAAGGAGCGATCCCAGCCTTCTGATCTCGGGAATGAAGGATTAAAACACAAATTTAAGTGCTGTCTGTAATAGCAAAGGGATCCCTTATACTTCTCTAGTAAGATAAAAATACGCATATGTATGAGCTTGCATTACAGATTATGAAAATTCTCTAACGTGAAGTTAATTTAATTTCTTGGTAGTGACAGGTCTTGGGGAAAGTAGCCGTTGTCTTCTTTGAAGTGTAGAGCTGTCATTCTTTGTTAAGAAGTTAAAAAGAACTTTTTAACCACCACTTCAAAAGTATTACCCTTAGCGGTATGTGTCAATACTTAAAACAGTTCTCATAAAATGTCTGGATATCCTATGGCACTGAACTTTAGAACACTGTATTTGCTGTTTCATCATGACACAGTGATCTCAGAATGATCACTTAATAATTAGAAAAGCTATGAGTTTGGCTGATTATTGCTATGTAGGGACACCAGTGATAACCTAGAAGTTGGTTGGTTGCATATTAATCATGCACAAGTGGAAGAAAGTTGTCGGGGGGATGATGTAACAAGAAGAAAAAATTCATCATACTGTTGTTTAGCTGTCATGTGGTCATAACGTTTTATTTGGTCTGGTTGCTTATTAAACATTCTGTGATCTATGTGAAATAGGGCTGGATTCTGTAACAAAGGCATCGCTGTGTCATGATGGGTGCCCTTGTGTGGGTAGTTCCTGGAGGGCTGTTAAGAGTGCCCAATGTGTATAACTAATAGTTAAGGTATTGAAATTTGCTTGTTTACAGAGGAATCTGCTGGCTTTCCTGAGTTGCTGGACTTCCAAAAGCAAATAATTGGTATTATTTGCAATCAGCTTTTAACTCCTCTATTTGGTGTAGTCAGTTCTCAGCAGCAGAATATAAGCTAAAATTTTGCAAACTGTGAGCCCCAGTGTTAGGGGATGCAGCTGTGTTTGGAAAAGCTGATCAAAGCAGTGGAATACACTGCTGTATCCGCATGGCCTGAGGGCAAGGGAGTGGTGTGCTTTGGAGTCAGAGGCCTGTGCATAGGAAGTGCAATGGAGATATGTCCTGTGACAATTGCAAGGCAGAAACATATAAAAATTTAGTACTGTCCTCAGAAAGGAAAACATAATGACATAAATTGAATCAAAATAGGATAAAGAGTTATTTTATTAAAGGATTATTATGCTTAGCTATTTACTGGGGGAGGTGTCAATTCTTGCCTTTTGGGTCGGGGGTTTTTATGCTGTTTTAAAAGATGGAAGGAATGTATAGTATTTGTGTTGACAAAGAATTGTTCCTGTATTGTGTCTGATATCAGGCAAGGATGTTGAATTCTAGTTTGTGCATGGTATTAGAGCTCCCTGAGTTGGGAGTCATAGGAAATGGTTGTTTAATGGTACACAAAGTAGGCATGTACACAGTTATAAAATACACTGTGGAAAGTGAAGTAAAGCAGCAGCTGGTGGAAGTGCTCCTACAGGTGGCAGTCAGACAGTACCTGTATGTAACTCATGAGATACATCAGAGGGAAGCTACAGCACTGCTACAGCTGCAGCACTGTATAAAATTAGTTAGCTGATTTAATAGTTATGTCTTACTATGTTCAAGAAAATCCATGATCAGAATCTTAGTCAAGTTTATTTTGCATCTGTGGATGAAGGAAAAGTGCAAGTGTGGGGTAGGATCTGTAGGTTCCCCCTACAGTTATGAAGGACTTAAAAGCATTAGTGGTTTGACATAATGGAGTAGGTAGGCAGTAAATGGGAAGGGTTATATGCATCTTGAAAAGAGAAGTAATTAATTGAATGAGTATTTAGATTGTAGATTGTAGAGTCTCATTTCTACAGTGTCACAGCACTTCTGCTCTTGTCTGACTACCTTGTAACTTAGGAATTTCTGCACAAAAAAACCCAAACCCAAAAACCCCAAACAACCGATGTCCTGGTTCTTGCTTGCTTAGCATTGTGTTTTCCTTTAAAGATGGCATTGGTCTGAGAAATAACTTAAGTACAGTACTTATATTACTGCTAAAACTCTATGAAAAAGGAGAGAAAAATATGTAAATAAACTAGCTTGAGCAAGTTTCAGATAGAAGCTATGAAGGAAGAATCTTCCGTGGGATGGTGTCGTTAGTTCAGCTGTGCAGTCTCTCCTACACATCTCTGTGTTTGTGTGTGGCTGGAACATACCCACACTTCAAGGTGATAAAATGTTTTGTAGGTGCGGGACTGCATCCAGAAAACACTGACTGA